TGGGAAAAGGAGTAGTATCTGAGAAGATGAAGCTTGGTATAGCTTTGATAACATTGCAATTCTGTTTTGCAGGTTTCCACATTGTCTCAAGAGTTGCACTTAACATTGGTGTTAGTAAAGTTGTGTATCCTGTTTACAGGAACATTCTTGCTCTTCTTCTCATTGGTCCTTTCGCTTACTTCTTGGAGAAGTAAGTTCTTTGTGTGTTTCCATATGCGCATTTTGGTAATAGAGTTTTATTTTCGCGCGAACAATTTTTCCAGAAAATAGTATCATTTTGATCTCATAATGGTTTCTTAAGTAAGATCTCAAAACCTTTTTGAATGTGTTTTTCAGGAAAGAAAGGCCTCCTCTCACAATCTCATTACTGGTTCAGTTCTTTTTCTTAGCACTCATAGGGTAAAAAAAACCTTTCTATTTAATCACTAATCAATTTCCTCAAAATATAAATAAAATCTTTAATCATTAGGAAAATTGATTCATATTTTTGGTTTTCTCTGATTTTATAAACATCAGAATCACAGCAAACCAAGGATTCTACCTATTAGGACTCTACAATTCAACTCCAACGTTTGCTTCAGCAATGCAAAACTCTGTTCCTGCAATCACTTTCATTATGGCTTGTGCCCTAAGGTACCTTAACCTCTTAATTTCATCATTTTTTGTATCTGCCTTAACATTGTTCTTCATCTATTTCAAGGATCGAGCACATCAATCTTGTTCGAACTCACGGTGTGGCCAAAGTGTTAGGGACCATAGTGAGCATAGGTGGAGCCACAACCATCACATTGTACAGAGGATTCCCACTCTTTCAAAGAAGCCTTACCAATTCTCATGACAATATCAAATCGATTAACAAATCGCAGAACTGGACACTAGGATGCTTATACCTTATGGGACATTGCTTGTCATGGGCTGGTTGGATGGTTCTTCAAGCTCCTGTTCTAAAGAAGTACCCAGCAAAACTGACCTTGACATCATTCACATGTTTCTTTGGTCTGATTCAGTTTCTGATCATTGCTCTGTTTGTGGAAACTGATCCCAACAAATGGATCATTGTCTCTTGGGAAGAACTCTTCACCATCCTTTACGCAGTAAGTATCGATACAGACTCAAAGACTTTAGAGTCCACCAACAAATAAGCTAACACATAATATTTCTACAGGGAATAGTGGCTTCAGGTGTGGTGGTTTATCTTCAGACATGGTGTATTCATAAAGGCGGTCCTGTCTTTGTAGCTGTCTTTCAGCCACTTCAGACACTTCTTGTCGCTGCCATGGCTTTTCTTCTCCTCGGTGATCAATTATACTCTGGAAGGTAACTTCACAAGAGAAAATTTTAGACAGAAATTGAAACTTGTGCTACAAATAGATTATAATATCGGTTTTTTACTTTGTATTGCAGCATTATTGGTGCAGTGTTCATAATGTTGGGGCTTTACTTAGTTCTTTGGGGTAAAACCAAAGAGAGAAGAGAAATTAATGAAGAACATGAGTCACTGACTAGACATCTTCTTGGTGATGAAACTAAAGAAACTCAACACAACAACAAGGATAGTGAATATGCAGTTTAAGACAACACAATCTTCTTTGTACATACTTACACACATGAAAAATGTATTAGCATATAATAAGAACTTGGCCAAGCCACAAGTAATCCTACAAAATGATCTTTTGGTAATTTTAACTTTGTTTTGTTTCATGAGATAGTTGCTATGAACATGAAACATGTTTATTGATCACCACTTCCATTAAAAACCCCACACGGATATAGATTTATACCAGAGCATACACAGTGTTTATAC